TAGTTTAATATATATACAATATATACACTATGTTTAAATGTTTGGGGTCTGTAAGATTTTTAATGTTTTTGAAAAGTCTCTTATGCTTACCAAGGCTGCATTTATTTGATCAAAAATACAGCAAAACAGTAATTTTGTGAAATATTATCACAATTTTAAAGGACCTTTCTGAATACATTTTAGAATATAATTTATCTCTGCAAAGCTGAATTTTTATCAGCCATTACTTCAGTCTTCAGTGTCACATGATGCTTCAGAAATCATTCTAATATGATGATTTGCTGCTCAAGAAACATTTCTCATTATTAGCAATGTTGTAAAAAGTTGTGTTGCTTAATATTTTTGTGGAAAACTTGTGGGGAAAAAATTATGAATATAGATGAATAGAAAGTTCAGAGGAACAGCATTTATTTGTAATAGAAATGTTTCACAATGCAAAAAGTCTTTACTGTCACTTTTGATCAATTTAATGCATCCTTGCAGTTATTTAAAAAAACATCTTACTGACCCCAGCCATTTGAACAGTAGTGTGTATATTAATCTGCACAAAGTATTGAGTTGTGCTCTGTTGACACATGGTAGTAAGGGATAATCTAATGCCATAATTTTGAAAAAAAATTATAGAAAATCTAATTTAATTGTACATCGGTGTTAAGAACATTCTAGAAATAATCTCTGATTAATTTCAAAGTGAAGATATTGCTGTTTTAAAAACTAACTTGCAAGTTATTTAAGGCATGTTTTTTCTGATGTCAAGAATACGTGGAGCTTCATAGAAAGTGTAACCACTGTAGTTCTCGGACAAATGCGTCAAAGGAATACACCTGCCAGCATGAGGCCATTCCTGAAGCATCTGTTTCCAGCCATCTCAGAGCCCTCCTTAAAGACAAACATCAGCCATGATGAGCCATCTTAAAAGAGCGTTCTTCTTTGGTCAGCCACCCAACAAAAACAGGTGCCCATACTGGTCTCGTTTGAACCAATAACATCTGATTCCAGACAGGTCAGAGGTTGCACGATGCTAACATAATGGTTGGGTTAAGAGCAGCCAAAGAAAAGCAACACTGGCTTTCATGTGTGCAGAGCATGTGTGACCACTTTAGCCACCCTGACTCAGTCTGTCCACTCTTGGAGCAACTCCAACCTTGCCTTTAACAGTCTTGATTTAGTCTCGATTAAGATTAAGATTATTAAAAGACACTTTGTCCAAAAGCAGGGATGCACTGCACATAGTGTGGCATTATACACTACATTAGTCTTATCACAAGTATTTTATCCCAGATGTCACAGCAGACAATACATATTCAACACGTAAATACTTGCAGTGAATCAGATACTTTTGTGTTTTGTGTGTCTGTTTATGCTGATGTATGCGTCCTTTTCTCTCTTTTATTTCATACTGAGATGATCAGAACTGATTAATGTGCCAGATAGACCAAAAAGGACCGACTTATTTTTCAAAGGGAAGGGTTTAAATGTTTATTATCTTGATTATGAAGTAGTGTGTGTGTACCTTTTTTTCTATTCTGGTGGGGACTTAAACCCGAGTACACACAGACTCATGTCACAGTGAGGACCTAAATTGAGGTCCCCACGGGTAAACAAGCTAATAAATCACAGAATTAAATTTTTTGAAAATCTAAAAATGCACAAAGTAAGGGGTAGGTTTAGGGTGATAGAAAATATGGTCTGTACATTAGAAAAACCATTACACTTATGGAGAGTCCCCACAAGGATAGCAAACCAGACATGTGTGTGTGTGTCTGTTCGTTAAACACTGCACCAGTACAGTGTCTCGGAAGATAAATATTATTCTAAATAAGTCCTTTTTGAAGTACACTGTGAAATGTTTTCGTTACATAAAAATGTACCTCATGTGGTGACTGTTATGGAAGGAGACTCACACAGAAGGTTAGGAAAAACAGAGGAGGTTTATTTGTGGCAACAGATGCTGGTGGTAGACTGGTAGGTGAGTAAGCAGTCCAAATGGAAATGTTCAATACTAATTGAGGTGTGGGAATGAGTATGCTTGCCCTTGCAGGAGTCCGTGGAAGAGCAGATGGTGGAAGGGAAGGTGGCACACACCTCGCCGTAATAAGGACTGGAGGGGTGTTCCCGGAGACGTAGGAGGACACAGGCGTTGGAGTATAACACAGGAGGTAAGTACACGAGGAAGGTAAGGATCTCAATCAGTCGCTGGAGTAGCATGAAGAGTCCACTTCGTATAAGCGAGATCGGACACTGGAGTGAGGTGAGGTATGTGCGCGCTTATGAAGTGCCTTGATGAGGGTAATGATCATGAACAGGTGCGTGCAATCAGAACTCAGGTGAAGGTGTGTGCGGTGAGTGAACCTGGCCGATCCGTGACAGTACCTCCCCCTCCACGGCCCACACCTGAGGACCGAGGACCCCAACGTCGGTGGTCTACCCCTTCCTCGGGAAGCAGGACAGTCGGGATGCGTGGAATGTCATTCCTGGGGACCCAAGACTGTTCTTCTGGTCCATATCCTTCCCAGTCTATGAGGTATTGCAGTTGGCCACCACGGCGCCGGGAGTCCAAGATCTGGTTGACCTTGTAGATGGCACCGTCCTCCAGAAATCAAGGGAAGAGGGGGTTCCTCTGTCGGACCAGGCTCTGTGGAGGCAGAAACAGAAGGGTGGTGAGGTTTGAGCAGTGACACATGAAATGTGGGGTGAATTTTGTATTGAGGAGGAAGCTGAAGTTGGTACGTGACCGGATTTATTTGTTTGGTGATGGTGAAGGGACCAACGTATCTGGGGCTTTTTGCAGGGCAGGCACAGCCTGATGTCCCGGGTTGACAGCCAGACCTTCTGACCAGGTTGGTCCACTGTCATCTTCTGCCTGCGCACTGCCCGTTGGAGCTGATGGTGAGCTGCGTCCCAGACCCTCTCGGAACCAGTAATCGACGGACGGGACATCTGCTGGTTCCCCCGACCTCGGCTGGTAGCCGAGTACACACTGGAAGGGAGTGAGTCCAGTGGATGGCTGACGGAGGGAATTCTGGGCATACTCAGCCCAGCCTAGGATCTGGTTCCAAGAGTCCTGGTGGCCATGGCAGAAGATTCGTAGGAAGCGTCCAACCTCCTGGATCTTTCTCTCCGTCTGCCCATTCGACTGAGGATGGTACCCCGATTACAGGCTTACAGTCACACCTAGGAGCGTGAAGGCCTTCCAAACCCTTGATATGAACTGGTTTTCTGGGTACCGACTGCACCTGGTATATGGTCTTCGTTGTTGTGGTCGGGAGGCTGAGCTGACGGCAGAGGCTCCCAGAAATGAAATTCCCGGCTGACCCGGAGTCGAGGAGAGCATGTACTGGAATAGAGAGGTTAGAGGCAGTAAGGATTACAACAGCGGAGAGAGGCTGCATATTAACAGTAGCCGGTTTGATAACACTCACCAAGGGTCGAGGAGGGCGGATTGGGCATGTCGAGATCACATGCCCTCCAACACCACAATACAAGCAGAATCCTTGGGTCAGCCGCCTCTGCCTTGATATGAACTGCGGTCCCCGGTTCGAGACAATATCCTCAGGTATTCCATAGTATCTGAAGGCTGAGTTGAACAGGAGTTCAGCGGTTTCCATTGCTGTAGGCAGGCCCTTGAGGGGGAGAAGGCGACAGGACTTAGAAAATCGATCTATTACTACTAGCACACATGTGTTACCATCAGAGACAGGCAGATCCGTGATGAAGTCCACTCCTAGGTGTGACCAGGGGCAGTGGGGAATGGGCAGCGGCAGGAGTTTGCCAGATGGTAAATGGCGAGTGCTCTTGGCGATGGCATAGTCCGAACAGCCCTGGACGAACCTTCTCACTTTCCTGGCCATATTGGGCCACCAGAAGCGCTCCCTCAGCAGTGAGAGGGTGCTGTTGGCCCCTGGGGGGCCAGTGCCCAAAGAAGTGTGAGTGGAGTGAATCAAGGGAGTGCGTTGTGCTCTGGTGACATACTGAAGTCCAGGTGGACAGCCCTGCGGAGTGCCTGTAGAAGCATTGGTGGAGGGAACTGGAGTAGAGGTCCATTGGATTGGGCTGAAAATGAGTTCCTTGGCTATGATGGGTTCTGGTTCTTCCTGAATTTCCCCTGGGGTATGGAGTCGTGAGAGAGCATCCACTTTTACATTCTTTGGACGATAGGATATAGTGAAATGGAATCTTGTGAAGAAAAGTGCCCTTCGAACTTGGCGTGGATTGAGTCTTTTAGCGTCTCGCAGGTATTGTAGGTTCTTGTGGTCTGTGAGGACTGTGAATGGATGTTGTGCTCCCTCCAACCAATGCCTCCATTCCTCCAAGGCCAGCTTGATTGCCAGGAGTTCCCTGTTGCCGATGTTGTAGTTTACCTCTGCAGGGCTGAGTTTGCGGGAAAAGGCGCATGGATGGAGTTTGGCGGGAATCCCCTGCTGCTGCGATAGCACCGCTCCTACCCCGGTGGAGGAGGCATCCACTTCCACCACAAATGTTTTTTCCGGGTCTGGATGGTCAAGGATCAGTGCGCTAACAAAAGCCTCCTTGAGTGACGTGAAAGCTTCCGTGGCCGCTGGTGACCAGAACAGAGACTTGGGCTTGCCACGTAACAGGTTTGTGAGAGGACTGGAGATGGTACTGTAATTCTGAATGAAACGTCTATAGAAATTGGAGAATCCTAGGAAGCACAGCAGTTCTTTGATAGTGGTGGGTATAGGCCAGGTCTTGATGGCTTCCACCTTCCCCTCGTCCATTTGGATGCCATCGTCGTCGATGTTGTATCCAAGGAACTGCACTGAGGGTTGATGGAAAGAACACTTCTCTGCCTTGAGGAATAGATGGAACTCACTCAGGCGTTTCAGGACCTCCGCAACATGGTGGCGATGTTCGGCTATGCTCCGGGAGTAGATGAGGATGTCATCAATATATACACAAGAACAAATCGGTGGAGAAACTCCTGGAGCACCTCATGCATAAAGTCCTGGAATACGGAGGGGGTGTTGACTAAACCATACAGCATGACAAGGTATTCATAATGGCCAGTAGGGGTCACGAAGGCAGTCTTCCACTCGTCCCCTCACGTATCCAAATAAGGTTGTAGGCGTTGCGGAGTTCCAACTTGGTGAAGACGGAGGCTCCGCGGAGATGTTCCAAGGCCACTTGGACGAGGGGAAGTGGATAACGGAACTTGGTGGTGATCTTGTTGAGTGCCCGGTAATCAATACAAGGCCGCAAGCCTCCGTCCTTCTTGGCCACGAAGAAGCTTGAAGCAACAGGGGCCGTTGAAGGGCGGATGTAGCCTTGTTGTGAAGCCTCTTCAATATACACTCCTCCATGGCCTTCTGTTCAGGGAGTGAAAGTGGATAAATCTTTCCACGGGGCACTGGCTTACCCGGTGACAGATCAATGGCGCAGTCCCATGGCCTGTGTGGCGGCAGCTGTGAGGCTTTCTTTGGGCAGAAGACATCTCTGAAGGGGGCATAGCAGGATGGAATATCCACTGACTGTTTATCCACAGGGCTCTCGATGGAGGTGGAATTGATGGAGTGTCTCGGGACGGAGTGCTGAGGGTAGAGGAATGTGAGGGAAACATTTATTGCCCCACTTCAGGATCTCACCGGTCTTCCAGGAGAGGACAGGGTCATGCTGCACTAACCACGGGCGCCCTAGGATCACGTCAGCGGTAGAGCCCTCCAGAACCAGGAGATTAATTGTTTCTTCATGTAACTGTCCAACTTGTAGATGGATGGGACCCGCACTGAGGCGAACATGTTTATGGCTGAGAGGTTTTCCGGTTACCGACTGCACCTGGTAGATGGTCTTCATTGTTGTGGTCGGGAGGCCAAAAAGAAATTCCCGGCTGACCCGGAGTCGAGGAGAGCATGTACTGGAATAGAGAGGTTAGAGGCAGTAAGGATTACAACAGCGGAGAGAGGCTGCATATTAACAATAGCCGGCTTGATAACACTCACCAAGGGTCGAGGAGGGCAGATTGGGCATGTCGAGATCACATGCCCTCCAACACCACAATACAGGCACAATCCTTGGGTCAGCCATCTCTGCCGAAGAGAGCCGATTTGTATCCACTTGCATGGGTTCGTTGCCTGGTTCTGGAGTGCTGGTGATTTCTGGCCGATGGAGGAGTGGAGAGACTGAGGGTGGTGGATGGTCCTCAAAGCAGGATTGCATCCGATTTGCACATCTGATGGATAACTGGATGAAACGTTCCAGGCCATAGGAGTCATCATACTTCGCCAGCTACAACCGCAATCTCGACTTGAGTCCCAGCCGGTACGTGGTGAGGAGCGAGCGCTCATTCCAGTCGCTGGCCGCAGCAAGGGTTCTGAACCTGAGGGAATAGTCATTGATAGACATGGAACCTTGACAGAAGTGGTATAATTGCTCACCCGCTGATGAATCACCTGCTGGTCTGCCGAAAACGTCATGGAAATGTTCCAGGAAGTTTTGAAGGGACTGAGTAATGGGACCGGCTTGGGCACAGATGGTTTCCGCCCATTGGAGCACTCGTCCTGTTAGCAGGGAGATGATAAAGGCGATCTTAGCATTATCAGAAGGATAGAAATGCAATTGCATATTCATGGTTAGCGAACACTGTAGTAGGAATCCGTTGCACTCCTCCGCCCGCACCAGAGAAGGGCGCTGGTCGGGCCATGGGACTGGCGACTACTGTTGACGAAGAAGTGCTGGTGCTATTTACGGAAGTGACCGGAGTAGATGTGGTTGCGGTGGCGAGGAGAACCCGCCGGAGGGAATCCACGAGCCCCTGGAAGGGATCTGGAGCACTCAGGTTGCCTACTGTTGTGGTCCGATCTTCTGTTATGGAAGGAGACTCACACAGAAGGTTAGGAATAACAGAGAAGGTTTATTTGTGGCAACAGATGCTGGTGGTAGACTGGTAGGTGAGTAAGCAGTTCAAATGGAAATGTTCAATAGTAATTGAGGTGTGGGAATGAGTATGCTTGCCCTTGCAGGAGTCCGTGGAAGAGCAGATGGTGGAAGGGAAGGTGGCACACACCTCGCTGTAATAAGGACTGGAGGGGGGTTCCCGGAGACGTAGGAGGACACAGGCGTTGGAGTAGAACACAGGAGGTAAGTACACGAGGAAGGTAAGGATATCAATCATTCGCTGGAGTAGCATGAAGAGTCCACTTCGTATAAGCGAGATCGGACACTGGAGTGAGGTGAGGTGTGTGCTTATGAAGTGCCTTGATGAGGGTGATGATCATGAACAGGTGCATGCAATCAGAACTCAGGTGAAGGTGTGCGCTGTGATTGGGTGGTGAGTGAACCTGGTCGATCCGTGACAGTGACAGCTAATGTACCTGGTTTTATTGAAGTCAAATTATTTATACAATTATTTTACATAATATTTAATATGACTGAATCAACTTGATTTCATTAAGATACACAAAAGTCATTTGTGAGGGTCAGATCATGTTACTTAGAGGGGTAGTTCCCCCAAAATTCTGTTGTCATGTCTCATGTGGTTTCAAACCCATAATACTTTAATTTTTAGAAAAATGAATTAAGATATTTTTAACTCTTTCCCCACCAGCGTTTTTTAAATGAGTTGCCAGTCACCCCCAGCATTTTTGATCGTTTTCACAAAAGTTTAATGGCACCCAGAATATTTTGTTGTATCAATATCTGAACATGCAATATGTCAAAACAAAGAACAGAGCCTCTGCTTTCAAACAAGACAACCCGTTTTATTCTATCGTCATGCAGTCTTTTATCAACACTTGAATGTTGTTAAGTTTCATGAAAAAAGCAACATTTGGAACAAAAAGCTGAGAAAATCGTGTTTTTGTAAAGGACTACATCTGGATCAGATTCACAACGATGATCAAAACAGATGGAGTCTATCACTTCCATCCAAATCTTGCATGGTCTCAGTAAATTTAGGCAGTTTTGATTTATATAATGATTAATAATTGTTGATTGCGTTATTTTACATATGCATCTGCTTACATATGCGATCGCTTTTTTCTGCTTCTTCTTCGCCATGTTTTGATCCAGACGTTCAATATAGAGGTCTGCGCGGGACTGTTTTTTTAGTCCCCCTCCCATAAGGTTCTATTCCGCACCCACCTGCTCCCGCTATATATTCACTCTGTTCACCCGCTGTCCGCTTAGAATAATTTTCTTCCCGACCTGACCGTTCCCGCTAAATTTAGATCTCATTTCCAGAATCTCACATTTAAATTTCCGCTACTGAAAGAAAGAGAGATAGACTGACAAATAAAAGTTTAGTCTGCACAAAATTGTATGTTATTTTATTCGTCTTGTCAAGAGTCTTGAATTTATTGACTTTGATTTGAATTGATATGAGTTATCTTAAGACACAAAATTCGTTTAATATTTTACGCAACACAGTAGGAAAAAAGTGTCAGAGAAAATAAAAATGTTTTATTTGTCTTGTCAGGATACAGTTCGTTTAACATTGACAACACAATAGGGAAAAAGTGCCACAGAGAGAAAAAAAATAAAAATGTAGGTTGTACAAAAATAGCCTATTAGCTATTTTTATTCGTCTTGTCAAAATACTAAATTCGTTTGACATTTTTCTGTTAACACACTAGGAAAAGTGTCGCAGAGAAAAATAAATAAATACTACATCTTTAATTTAAAATTATAAGCTAAGCAAAATATAAACAAAACCGAGTTGAACGTCCTTCAAGGACAGTGCATCCACACTTTGCTCCATCCTTATTCTGCTCTGTCACTCATCGACAACCTGCCTGTTCTGTCTGAGGGCCGTATATTTACCACAGGTACAGCCTGCTCTGAGCATCGTTATGCACATGTATACAATTATTTTACATAATATTTAATATGACTGAATCAACTTGATTTCATTAAGATACACAAAAGTCATTTGTGAGGGTCAGATCATGTTACTTAGAGGGGTAGTTCCCCCAAAATTCTGTTGTCATGTCTCATGTGGTTTCAAACCCATAATACTTTAATTTTTAGAAAAATGAATTAAGATATTTTTAACTCTTTCCCCACCAGCGTTTTTTAAATGAGTTGCCAGTCACCCCCAGCATTTTTGATCGTTTTCACAAAAGTTTAATGGCACCCAGAATATTTTGTTGTATCAATATCTGAACATGCAATATGTCAAAACAAAGAACAGAGCCTCTGCTTTCAAACAAGACAACCCGTTTTATTCTATCGTCATGCAGTCTTTTATCAACACTTGAATGTTGTTAAGTTTCATGAAAAAAGCAACATTTGGAACAAAAAGCTGAGAAAATCGTGTTTTTGTAAAGGACTACATCTGGATCAGATTCACAACGATGATCAAAACAGATGGAGTCTATCCCAAATCTTCAAATCTTGCATGGTCTCAGTAAATTTAGGCAGTTTTGATTTATATAATGATTAATAATTGTTGATTGCGCATATGCATCTATGCATCCGCTTATATACGCGATCACTTGTTTCTGCTTCTTCTTTGCCGTATTTTGATCCAGAGATTCAGTACTCTTTCAGAAGATGCGAAATAGCGCCTCCTACCGTACACCAGTGAAAACACGGAAAGCCGGAAAATTCCGTCAATGACGGGGAAAGAGTTAAAAGGGCAATCTGAATCCCAGCATTCCAAAGTCACACAACACTCACATTTAAATTTCCGCTACTGAAAGAAAGAGAGATAGACTGACAAATAAAAGTTTAGTCTGCACAAAATTGTATGTTATTTTATTCGTCTTGTCAAGAGTCTTGAATTTATTGACTTTGATTTGAATTGATATGAGTTATCTTAAGACACAAAATTCGTTTAATATTTTACGCAACACAGTAGGAAAAAAGTGTCAGAGAAAATAAAAATGTTTTATTTGTCTTGTCAGGATACAGTTCGTTTAACATTGACAACACAATAGGGAAAAAGTGCCACAGAGAGAAAAAAAATAAAAATGTAGGTTGTACAAAAATAGCCTATTAGCTATTTTTATTCGTCTTGTCAAAATACTAAATTCGTTTGACATTTTTCTGTTAAC